ATCAATCAACGGCCAGTAAAATCAGAAATTGAAGATTTCATGTGAATGAATCAGGTCAGGAAGATGGGAAAGATCTTGACTTAAGGAAAATCAGTACTAATNCAGCCTTTGGGCTGGCCCAGTTGAGATCCCGATAATCAACATAGACCGTAACCTTCCCATCCTTCTTTGGAACTGGCACGATATTGGCTAGCCAGTTTGGGTATTCAACCACCCAGAGGACCTTGGCCTTGATTTTCTTAGTAACCTCCTCCTTGATTTTCATACTCATGTCAGGCTTGAATTTCCTGACTTTCTGCTTCACTGGTGGACATGCTGGGTTTGTGGGCAACTTGTGAGCCACAATGGTTGTACTTAACCCGTCATATCATCGTATGACCATGCAAAGATGTCCCCATACCCTTTCAAGAACTGTGTGTACTCTTCTTTTTCCGATGGTGACAAGTGGATGCTGATGCGGTTTTCCTTGACAGTTTCAGAGTCTCCCAAGTTGATTATTTCTGTTTCGTCCAGATTAGACTTAGGCTTGTTCTCATAGTCTTCTACTTCTCTAATAATTTCCTCAGGTATGACATCTTCTTCTTCCGAATCACTATCCTTTTGTTGCGTTGTCTCATTACATGTCACAGTTGTTGGTTCATCGAGACATGAATGGTAATGCTGTATAGAAAAAGATATGATAGAAAAAATGGTAATAATAAATATTGATTCATTGAAGCATAAAAGCGATTTTCGATAATTTAAACAACGTTTCGGAACATTGGAAATATTATTTAAAACGAAATGCCAAAAAGGGAAATTATTTTTCCTAGAAAATAAACAAAACAATGATGTTCAGCCTCGCTACTGTCGATGCCCCCTTTTTCTCTTGCGAAATCGGTTTTACGACATTTGGGAGGACAACTCGTTTCCTTTTGGGAATTGGGTTTGAATTGAACTGTCGCCACCTAATGATTAAGTGCATTAGGACACTAAGGAGAATTTTGATTTAGAAAACCAGAGATTGGGTAAGGGCTTGAAAATATCCCGAGGGGAAGGTGTTAGGAACCCCTCGAGATCCACTAGTGTGGTTCCCGGCCATACTATAATTGTGACTTTAAGTGCAAATAACAAGTAGACAAATAAGAGTTACAAATATGAGAGGGGGGTTTTCACATAATTATTGCAAGTAATTCGAAGTTAAAACGAAGTTAAAGAAGCTGAAATTTGAGAAGAAAAGCAATTTTGAAACTCAGAATAAACGGGTAAAAGAGAAAAAATTTCATATAATTGCTGCAAGTAAATTGAAGTTAGAAGCAGTCAAAGAAGTTGAAATTTGAGAGAAAAAAGTAGTTTTTGAAATTCTGAATAAAACAAACAAGTAAAGGGAGGGGGGTCCTAGGTTCATAAATAATATGGATCACCCCACACAACACCTGGTAACTGTGAACAACTAATTTTTGACCACACCTGAATTTTATTTTAGTGTAAATATTTCTTTTCGGTCTAATCTTGATATTTTAAACTTGTAAGAACTTTTAATAGGTTTTATTAAAAAAAATTACAAAAAATAATCAAATAATTATAGAATATATTTCATTTCTATTTGTAAAGAGAAAAAGAATCTTTTAATTAGAATTTTAATAAGTAAGCTATTGTATTTTTCTTAGTAGAATTTGAACTACAGTGTAAATATTGAATTTTTTTATTTATATGGTTTTCTTTAAAGCTTAAAAGTAAGTTAATTAATATATATATATATATATATATATATATATATATATATATAACATTCCTTTCATTTAATTAAAAGGGTTAAGAAAAAGTTACTTTAAAAAAGGAGAAGTAGGGTAACTAACGAAAACAGCAAGAAACAAAATATAACAAAATAAAAAAAATATATAATAAAAAAAATTGATTTCCTCCTATCCTAACTAACCCCATGATCTTCCAAAAAACCGCCCCACACACTCACGTCCCAACCCCCACTTCCCCACTTTCTTGACATCAATTATAAAAATACAAATCTATATAATACTACACTGAAAAAGAACAGAGAGGAGGAAGAAAAGAACGTGAAAAGAAAAGGGGGCACAAAGAACGAAAAAAAAAGATCTGACAAAAAAGCAAAACACAAAGAAAAGAGGAGATTGGAAAACAAAAAGGAAAAGTAACGTTGAAAACACAAAAAAAAAACAAAAAAAAACGCACACACACAAAGGGAAGGAAGAAAACGGAAAAAAGAGATAGAAACAGAAGCATTTTCAGAAGTTTTTGCTGTTTGATTAGAGCCGTGATTGTTGCCTTTTTGCTGAGTTCCATTTCTCAATTTCAAACATTCGATTGCTTTGTCAGCCGATTTTTCCACACCTTAGGTATGTTTTTTTTTTACATTTTTGTATTAATCTAATTTGAGTCAATAGAAATGCGAATCTGGTATTTAATTGTCCTATCCCATATTTAATGTGTTTAGTTTGTTATGGGTGTACATGATTTCTTATTAAGTGCGTTGATGTGGATTTACTAGCATGTGTAGAACATTTCTATTTAGCCTAGTCCTGTATATTTGAGAATCATGTTTAAACGTAATGAATACATCTGTTTGGATTTGTTTTGGCCAGATTTGTAAAACTTTAGTCTATTGACTTGTCCATGGTCTGTTGAATGCTCGAATCACTTTTCTGTTTAATTTCGGGTCGCTATTGTTTAAACTTTTAAATTTGAATCTTCAGTTTTGCTTCATCTTGTTCTAGCTTATGTTAAGCTTGAATTAAAACGCCATACACATTACTATAGCTGTGTATATTCTGATTTGTTCTCTGTTTTTCACACGTTGCCGTCTTTGTTTTCACATGTTGCCGTCTTTAAGATTTGGGATGTTCAACACATTTATTAGAGAATGTCATAAGTATTCACAGTTTGATTTTCTTTATTCATTAAATGAAAAGCACAAGTAATTATAGTTTTTGTCCAGAAGTTAGATATTAGTTTATAGGTAAGGAAAATGCCCAATAAGTTTCGCTAATGCAGATCTTCATATAACCATAAATTTTTTTAGAAAGAATTTAAATTTGTGAACATTCATAAGTTGCTTTAATTGAGTACGAATCTTTTAAAATAAATCGAGGCGTGCCATTCACAACTGAATCACTTAATCCACGGCCCTCACATTAATACTAACTAGTGTAGAAAATACTACAATCGTAGTTTGCTTTAGGCTCGATTTGGATTAGTATTGCGATTATGTATACGTCCGCGTAACATAATTGCGAATTTAACTCTAAAAAAGACTCGAAGGATGCGTTCGCGCAACTTCAACAAAACTTTTTCTTAATAAATCAACAAAAAGCGCTATTAATCGTGGACACGTTCGCGTGGCATGATTTTGATGCGCCAAAAGAAAAGTGTATACGTACGCGTAACTCAATTCTTTAATTATGAATAATTCAAGTGATGTAAAAGCGGTAAAAATATAAATGCACATAGGTCCTAAAAATGAGTAGTTAAATGATTTAAGCCAAGTAAGAATCACTAAGCGACCGTGCTAGAACCACGGGACCCGGGAATGCCTAACACCTTCTCCCGGGTTAACAGAATTCCTTATCTAGAATTTCTGGTTCGCGGACTTCAAAATGAAAGTCGAATTTCCTCGATTTGGGATTTAAATTAAACCGATGACTTGGGACACCAATAAAAATATTCCAAGTGGCGACTCTGAAATAAATAAATAATCCCATTTCGATTAATGTGACTTAAATTGGAAAAAACTCCTTTCTTTCCTATCCCCTCGGAAAAAAAGGAGGTGTGACAGCTCTGGCGACTCTGCTGGGGAAGATAACCCAGAACTTCTGTTTAGGGTTTAAAATTCGAGCTTGTAATATGATCTATACTTGGCTTTATTAATTTGATGTTATTAATGTGTTTTTGGGCCTAATGCTCTAATTGCCGCTTATTTACCCCTTTGATATTATTTGAATTGTATTAAACTGTCTTCTTACGCCTCCCTTCTGAGTCTTCTGAATTTATGGTGCACACGTGCACGTGGCCCACTTTTCTGTTAGAAGTCATATCAATTAGAACGAGGCTGGGTCAAGTAACTAGGCCGGGTAGACTTTCGTGCTCCCGGTACGTTGCCCCCACCTTGGCTCGAGTTGTTCGCTTGGGTAAGCCAGGTCTAAAACACTCCCCCCAGGATTTAAACCTAGCATAACATAACCTCATGCCGGATCCCTAGTAGGAACGTTTGTTTGCATCATGTGCATTTGACTTTGGGGACTCAACACAGGGGTTGGGTCCGTCTAGGACTGGTGTACCCGAGAATTGCAAGACCATCCTGATGCATCTTATGTGCTACTTGTGCATTATGTCTGATTCGGCTTGTGCATGTTGACCGACTTCTAAAAAATAATAAAATAAAATAAAAATATAAAAATTGAGGTAAAACTAGAAGTGAGAAAATAGGAGAGGAAATTTTACCCGGTTTTTGAAAAATCTCAGTATTTACCCCAAAAAGATTATTACAAAATAAGCCTAAATTTTTCAAAAAAAAAAATGTGTCATCCTATTCCTGAAACATATACGAACTACGCGGGTCTGATTCTCACCGGATGTGAGATATGTAGGCAACCTCCATAGGGTTCGACCCTATTTTTTTATATTAAAAAAGGAAATGTGTCTAATGTTTTTTTTAATCAAAAACAAACAAGCAAACCCAGCTTCGGTTAATCCACAACCGTTTTTGTCAGAATAGCTTTAGAACAACTTCAGAATTGTCGAAGGGCTATTCTCGCAAGAATGGACATGTCTGTCAATTGGACATCACTTTTACTATCATGCCCATCCCGACCTTAAAGTTATCTTTGGAAGTATGAAGGGGTCATAATTGCAAAAAATAGCCACCCTCTCTTTGATTTTTCTTAAAATAGTGTCATAAACAAAAAGATTTTTTTACAAAACGAGTGCATTAGTTCTGTCTTTTGAGGCTAGTGTCAACCCTAACCTTAATCACCCACAGGTACAAAATGAGCACTATCCAGAACACACCGTTGACAGTTGTAGATGGGTTTCTACTCCAGCTTCAGATGTGGTGGTATGACTTAGGAGAAGATGGTCAGAAATGGGTCACTAAGTATCTGGGAGCCCTTACAGATATTTTGAAAGTTAAAGGCGATGGTTTGATTGAGGCGTTGGTGACTTTTTGGGACCCTGTTCACAATGTCTTCCGCTTTTCTGATTTTGAGCTTACTCCCACTTTAGAAGAGATAGCTGGATTTTCCGGTTTTGGCAGGGATTTGAGAAAACAGAAGCTCATATTCCCGAAGGCTCCTTCTGTACACCGATTCTTTGGTCTTCTGAACATTAGTAATCAAATCAGAAAGAACAACGTGGTCAACGGGTGTTGTTCTTTCTACTTCCTATATTCTAGGTTCGGCAAGCCAGATGGGTTTGAAATTCATGAAAAGGGCCTTAGCAACAAGCAGAACAAGGACACATGGCAGATTCACCGTCGCTTCGCTTTCATAGTGGCATTTCTAGGGATCATGGTCTTCCCAAACAAAGAGCGGACGATTGACATTCGCATAGCTAGGGCCGTACAGGTCCTCACTACCAAAGAACATCACACTCTTGCCCCGATCATTCTATCAGACATTTATCGGGCGTTGACTTTGTGTAAGTCCGGGGCAAAATTCTTCGAAGGGTGCAATATTTTGTTGCAAATGTGGTTGATTGAACATCTCCGACATCACCCCAAGTTCATGCGGTATGGTCCGAGCAAGGACAATGTCATTGAGAGTTATGAAGAAAGAATAAAAGATTATAATTCTCCAGAAGGGGTGAAAGTCTGGATATCCCACCTAAGATCTTTAAATGCAAGTCAAATTGAGTGAACTTTGGGATGGCTCCCGGTAAGAGAGGTAATACACATGTCGGCCTTAAAGAGTTATTCATGCGAGACTCGAGCAGGCTAGACTTCGGGCTCAGTTGGAGTCAGCTTTAGATCGCGAGGGCCACATAAGAGAGATAGCCATCACTCGCCAGCAGCAGTTACAAGATCGAGACCAGAATTTCCAGGCCTTCAGAGAGCAAGTCCATGATTTGGTTGTTTATACCGCTCAAAGTTATGTGAACTGCCAAGGGATGGATTATGAGGATTTTTTAAAGCATGCACCTACTTTTGCCCGTCATCTTGCAGCAGAGCTAGAGAGGATGTACCGTACATTGGGGGGACAGCCAGGTCAAGCCCCACCATGAGCAGATGTTCCAATGGTTGAAAGCAAAAAGATTGTGGAGTTGAAGCATAGTCATAGTTATTAGAACTTTTCATGTAGTGGTCATGTTTTAATTTGAGTCATTGTTAAGTCTTTAAATCATTTTTTTTAGTCCTGTCCGAGTCTGTTAAGTCATTTCAATGTAATGTCCTTTCTGTCATTGTACTGTTTTTTTTAAAAAAAAAATATTATTGTTTTTCCCTGAACTACGTAATGGTCTGATTCATGCGGCGTCATGATACGTAGGCAATCCTCATCGGATGCGATCATAGCCATAATTAATCTAAAAAAAAGGGGCGTCAAATTCAAGATGTAAATAAAATAATTAACCAATAAGCCGGGATGAAGCATGAAGCCTTCCAAACTCATTCTAGAAATGAAAATGGCGTTAGGTGCATGACATACAATGTGTGATTAAATATCTGCAAAATGCCTAACTCTAACACGTTTGTTGTTTGTCATCTAAAGAGATAAAGTTAAACAGAGGTGGTTGGTTTGTGGTTTAAACTGGCGACTCACCCTTACAACACGAGATCAAAAGGAAAAAGTAGAATGGCGAACAACAGTGAGAATGAGTCAGATAATGATGATGTCCATGGACAATTGGTTGAACAAGGTTCGGGACTGGTTGAAGAAGTAAGAGTTTTGAAACAACAATTGGCAGATATGTACCAAGCCTGGGTGAATGGACAGGCACCACCCCTAATACCTATAGGGCCTTCGGATAAACTTCATAATGTGTCAGTTGCAAATCAAGTGCCTATCTCCATAACAAGTAACCCATTGTACCAACCTAGTTTCAGTCCGAGCATTAACCTGCCCGCTATCCCCAGTACCTCCATTCCCCGTCCTCCAACCGCACCCCTCAGAAATGACCCACCTACTGTACCCACTGTCCCTACTTTCACCGTTCCTCAACCGGCTCTTGCTCAAAAGCTCAACAATGATCCACATCTGAATGCTTATGATGCCCAACATTACTCTCCAGAACTGACTTTCAAGGTTCCAGATTCATACAAGCACACTTCTCAGAACATGTTCCCAGTTGAGATCGAAAAGCCCGAAAAGAATATGGAACATGAGGAAATGACCAGAAAAATGAAGAGCTTGGAACAAACCATGAGAAACATACAGGGTTTGGGAGGCCACAAGAGTGTTTCGTTTAATGATCTATGCATGTTCCCCCATGTTCATTTGCCACCGGGCTTCAAGACCCCCAAGTTTGACAAGTATGACGGTCATGGTGATCCCGTTGCCCATTTGAAGAGATATTGTAACCAATTAAGAGGAGCAGGAGGTAAAGAAGAATTACTCATGGCTTATTTTGGGGAAAGTTTGACAGGAATTGCTTCAGAGTGGTTCATAGATCAGGACATCTCTCACTGGCACGTTTGGAACGACATGGCTCAAGATTTTGTCCAACAATTTCAGTACAATATTGATATAGTGCCAGACCGCTCCTCTCTTGTCAACATAAAGAAGAAACCAGCAGAAAGCTTTAGAGAATATGCAATCAAGTGGAGAGAGCAGGCTGCTAGGGTCAAACCACCAATGAAAGAGGCAGAAATGATTGACTACTTTCTCCAAGCTCAAGATCCTGATTACCTCCATTATATGTTGGCCGCCATTGGTAAACCTTTTGCTGAGGCGATTAAGATTGGGGAAATAGTTGAGAATGGCATGAAGTCGGGCAAAATTGTGAGTCAGGCAGCCCTTAAGGCGACCACGCAAGCAATTCAAAGTGGGTCAGGCAGTTTCGGAAATCGGAAAAAGAAGGAGGAAGGATCCATGATGGCATCTGGGTTCGGGGGAGTTCAAAGAGGAATAGTTCCTTCGTACGTGCAATTCCAACAAGGACAATCCAATTCTCCTCAACATTATTATCCGCCTCAGGGTCCTCGGTACTCGGTGCCCTCGCAACAATACACAGTGTTTAATGCTCAGGCTTATGCTAGGCCTCCCAATCACCAACAATGGCGAGCACCGACTCCACAAGGCTTCCGTCAACTCCGGCCAAATTTTCAGGTGCCATATAATCCTCGTCCCAGACAGGAATATGTGAGAGAACAGGAGCCAAAGAAAAAGTTCACCCCAATTGGAGAATCGTATACAAGCCTATTTCGAAAGTTGATGCAGCTGAAGTTGATTGAACCTATCGTGCCGTATTATGTGAATCCAAACTCAAAAGGTTTTGACTCCAATGCGAGATGTGAGTATCACTCTAACACCCAAGGTCATAGTACCGAAAATTGTTGGACATTAAAGAAAGCCATTGAAAATTTGATTGAAGCAAAGGCAATTGTGGTGGCAAACAATGAAGATACTCCTAATATCACAAACAATCCGCTCCCAGCTCATGATAATACACATTTTATTGGGATGATTTGTGATGATCGGGATTATAAGCAATTTGGCAAGACAGAGATGATTGTTGGAACCATAGGGCCAGAGCCAAAAGTGATAGTAAGCCCGCCGCAATTGGCACCGCTGATTGTGAAAGGTGCGAGTTCTAGTTCAAACTTGGCAGGTTCTGAAAAAACGGTTCTCTATGTCCCTGGAAGCACAAAAAAGATTGAGGTTCAATTGGGTGGGCCAAAACTTTATATCCCTGGGGGCATTCAAAAGATTGTTCCGAATAATGCTTTGAGAAATATAACAGAGCCAGTTGTGATCCGACCTGTTGCACAACTTCCAGTGTCAAACACAAAAGCTATTCCCTGGAACTATAACAAGACTGTCATGACATACAAAGGAAAAGAGATAGTGGAAGAAACAGATGAAATGGGAGGCTTGACCCGCTCTGGAAGGTGCTACTCGCCAGAGGAATTGAGAAAAGCTAAGCAAGCCAAGGAAAATCACTTTCCAGTGAAAGAAACTGTTTCAGAAAAAGAAGCGGAGGAATTCCTTAAGAAAATGAAAATGCAAGACTACTCAATCATTGATCAACTAAGGAAAACCCCTGCTCAGATATCTTTGTTATCTCTGCTTTTGCACTCGAAAGAACATCGCCTTGTGTTGATCAAAACTTTGAACGAGGCATATGTCTCAGAAAAGACAACGGTGAATCAGCTAGAAAAAATGGCTGAAAGATTCTTTGAGGTGAACAAAATTTCTTTCAGCGATGATGATTTGCCTGAGGAAGGGTCTGGGCACAATAAAGCTTTGCATCTTATGGTCAAATGTGAAGGGCATTACGTAAAAGGGGTCATGATTGACGGAGGCTCAAGTGTAGATGTATGCCCTCTTTCTATTCTACAACAACTGAACATTGACACTAACAGAATTCGGACTAGTACTGTCAGCATCAGAGCTTTTGACGGTTCAAAAAGAGACACTATTGGGGAAATCGAACTCACCATGACAATTGGCCCGGTTGATTTTAACATTGTCTTTCAAGTGTTGGATATGAAAACCTCATATAATTTTCTTCTGGGAAGGCCGTGGATCCATATGGCCAGAGCTATACCATCCACCCTACATCAAATGGTCAAATTCGAATATGACAGGCAAGAAATTGTTGTTCATGGGGAGGACGACTCATCCGTTTATAATGACCCGTCCATTCCATGTATCAAGGCCAAGGAAGGATGTGAATCCCTCATATATCAAACATTTGAGGTGATTGAGGTAGACCAAGTGGAAGAAGGAAAACCAATTCTGCATCCCTATCTTTCAGCCACATCTATGATGGTAGCTTCACTGATGTTGAGGAACGGCTATGAACCAGGAAAAGGATTAGGATCATTTCTGCAAGGAATTGTGAACCCCATTGCTCCTTTTTTGAAGAAAGATACCTTTGGCTTGGGTTTTAAACCAACATCAGCTGACATAAACAGAGCCAAGGCCCGTAAAAAGAATGGTTGGAAATTGTCAAAACCAATCCCTCACATTGCCTACTCTTTTGTCAAGCCACAATTTGAAGAAGTCCAAAATCTTTCTACTCAAGATGACATTGATGAAGTTTGCCAGGGTCTCAAGGAGATGTTCTATGGAATCAACATGGTTCAAGTTGGTGAGGGCCCTAGTCGTGCAAGTGTTCAGCTGATTGGTCCAGATACTTCGCTCAACAAATGGGAAGCAACTCCTCTTCCCATCAGGAAGGAGTCTTGGTAGTCTGTTTTGTTGCTTTTTCTGTATTTGGATTACTTTCAGGGTTGTAATCCAGATATTTTATTCTAATTGCTTTGCTTTGATGTTAACCCTTCTATCCTCTCCAATTCAATGAAATGAAGTTCCAGTTTCATAGTAGAATTCTGTCTTTTCCTTTCCCTAATTTTTGTTAATTTCTCATCATTTTCAGTTTCGTTAATGCTGGCTTTAAAAACATGACATGCACACGGAATTCATGCCCAGATCTTAAAAAGTTGTCTAATCTCGAAATAATGAATCAAGAAGTTGAGTATGATGAAGATGAGGCTTTTAAGGAAATAAAAAGAGAATTTGATCAATTTGAGAATAAGCCTAAGCCTAACTTAAATGAAACTGAGGCAATTAACCTTGGAGGTTCTGAAGAAATCAGAGAAACAAAAATAAGCATTCATACTGAACAAAAGACGAGAGATGCCATAATTCAAGTTTTGTTCGAGTACAGAGATGTATTTGCTTGGTCGTATGATGACATGCCGGGTTTGAGTGCCGATTTAGTGGTCCATAAGCTTCCCACATATCCTAATTTTCCACCAATCAAACAAAAACAAAGGAAGTTTAAGACAGACATGAGTGATAAGATTAAAGAAGAAGTCACGAAGCAACTAAGTGCAAATGTGATCAGGGTCGTCCGATATACTACATGGTTAGCAAATGTTGTGCCAGTGCCAAAGAAGGACGGAAAAATTAGAGTTTGTGTTGAATATAGGGATTTAAATAAAGCAAGTCCAAAGGACAACTTTTCTTTACCCAACATTCATATCCTTGTTGACAATTGTGCTAAACATGAGATCCAATCTTTTGTGGATTGTTATGCTGGGTATCACCAAATTCTGATGGATGAAGAAGATGCAGAAAAGACCGCCTTCACCACGCCATGGGGAACCTATTGTTATAGGGTCATGCCATTTGGTTTAAAGAATGCAGGAGCAACTTACATGAGGGCCATGACTACCATTTTCCATGACATGATGCACAAAGAGATTGAGGTGTATGTTGATGATGTGATCATTAAGTCTAGAACACAAGATGATCATGTGCAAGACTTGAAAAAGTTCTTTGAAAGGCTACGAAGATACAATCTCAAACTCAATCCAGCCAAATGCGCATTTGGAGTTCCTTCTGGGAAGCTTTTGGGTTTTATAGTTAGTCGAAGAGGCATTGAGTTAGATCCCTCCAAGATAAAGACCATTCGAGAGCTGCCTCCCCCGAAGAATAAAAAAGAAGTCATGAGTTTGCTCGGGAGGTTGAACTACATCAGCAGGTTCATTGCGCAGCTTACAACCACATGTGAGCCTATTTTCAAGTTGTTGAAAAAGAACGCCGCTATCAAGTGGACAGATGAGTGTCAAAAACCTTTTGATAAGATTAAGGAATATTTGTCAAATCCCCCTGCTTTGGTCCCGCCAGAACCTGGTAGGCCTCTATTTTTATATCTGTCAGTAACGGATAGTTCTTTTGGTTGTGTTCTGGGTCAACATGATGCCACAGGCAGAAAGGAACAAGCAATATATTATTTGAGCAAAAAGTTCACCACTTATGAGGCCAAATACACTCTTTTGGAAAGGACATGTTGTGCCTTAACCTGGGTCGCTCAGAAGCTTAGGCATTATCTTTTGGCCTATACAACTTACCTCATATCCCGAATGGATCCCCTGAAGTACATTTTTCAGAAGCCTATGCCAACTGGCAGATTGGCAAAGTGGCAAATCTTGCTCACAGAGTTTGATATTGTTTATGTCACTCGCACTGCCATGAAGGCACAAGCTTTGGCTGATCATTTGGCAGAAAACCCAGTTGATGATGAGTATGAATCTTTGAACACATACTTCCCAGATGAAGAGGTTAATTTAGTTGAAGAAGCAGTCCAAGATGACAGTCAAGTTTGGAAACTATACTTTGATGGGGCTGTCAACATAAAAGGCGTAGGGAATGGGGCAATTCTTGTATCACCTACTGGGCAACAATACCCTGCCACGGCACGACTTCGTTTCTTCTGTACAAACAACACAGCAGAATATGAAGCTTGCATCATGGGTCTGAACATGGCAATAAACCTAAATGTGCATGAACTGTTGGTGATGGGAGATTCAGATTTGCTTATTCGGCAGGCTCAAGGTGATTGGGAGACTCGAGACATCAAGCTCATTCCATATAAACAATGTGTGGAAGATCTTAGCAAGAGATTCAAGTCCATCGAGTTCAGATACATTCCCAGGTTTCACAATGAATTAGCTGATGCCTTGGCCACCCTGGCCTCAATGCTTCCATATCCGGGTAATACTCACATTGACCCATTAGAAATACAAATTCGGGATAAACATGGTTATTGCAATACAATTGAAGTAGAACTAGATGGTGAACCATGGTACCGTGATATTAAACAGTTTCTGAAAACAAGAGAATATCCGGAACATGCTAATAGGGATCAAAAGAGAACTATTAGGCGACTATCTAATGGTTTCTTTTTGAGTGGGGAAATACTATACAAAAGAACCTTGGATTTGAATTTATTGAGATGTGTGGATGCCAAAGAAGCTGAAATGATTATGAATGAGGTGCATTCGGGAGTTTGTGGTCCGCACATGAATGGATATGTTCTAGCAAAGAAGATCCTTCGGGCAGGATATTATTGGCTTACTATGGAGCGAGATTGCTTTCGTTTTGTGCGCAAGTGCCACCAATGTCAGATTCACAGTGATTTGATTCATTCGCCTCCTTCAGAGTTGTATCCTATGTCGGCTCCTTGGCCTTTTGTTTCTTGGGGAATGGACGTCATTGGCCCAATCGAGCCAAAAGCTTCAAATGGGCACAGATTCATCTTGGTTGCAATTGATTACTTCACCAAATGGGTGGAAGCTATTACATTAAAAGCAGTTACCAAGAAAGCAGTAGTAGACTTCGTTCACTCCAACATCATCTGTCGTTTCGGTATTCCAAAAACCATTATTACAGATAATGCTGCTAATTTGAATAGTCATCTGATGAAGGAAGTATGTGAACAATTTAAAATTGACCATCGCCATTCTACTCCTTACCGACCCAAAGCTAATGGAGCTGTTGAAGCTGCAAATAAGAACATCAAGAAGATTCTTAGGAAGATGGTCCAAGGGTCTAGACAATGGCACGAGAAATTGCCTTTTGCTCTTTTGGGATACCGGACAACTGTCCGTACATCAGTTGGTGCAACGCCCTACTTGTTAGTTTATGGCACTGAAGCGGTCATACCTGCTGAAGTTGAGATTCCCTCTCTCCGAATAATTGTTGAAGCTGGGATTGAGGATACTGAATGGGTGAAGTCACGATTGGAGCAGTTGAGTTTGATTGATGAAAAGCGATTGGCGGCGGTTTGTTTTGGTCAATTATACCAACAAAGAATGGCACGCGCTTACAATAAGAAAGTGCGCCCAAGAAAATTTGAGGTAGGACAGCTTGTTTTGAAACGCATCTTTCCAAACCAGGAAGAAGCAAAAGGAAAGCTCGCCCCGAATTGGCAAGGTCCTTACCTCATCAAGAAAGTATTGTCGAAAGGAGCTCTACACTTGGCAGATATAGAAGGAAAGGTGACAGACATATCCGTCAATGCAGATGCGGTCAAGAGATACTATGTCTGATACGCTTCTGTTGGGGGCATTTTTCTTATATATACTTAGCATTCTCAGGTTGGGATGATGAAAGGCTATCATTCTCGCTACCCAAACACTGGTTAACCCTATTTAGCCCTTTGAAGCCTTGTTTATATTTCTTTGTTTTACCCTCTTTTGGAACAAATGTACTTAAAAACCCAAATTTAAAAAAAAATCATCAAAACAAGTTCATGTTTCCTGAACTACGTTCGACTTGATTCCAAAAGGATACGTAGGCAGCCTCTCTCTGAGGTTCAGTCGCACCAAACAAAATCCATATTTCCCCACTATTCAGAGAAACTGCGGCATGTTTTTATTTTATTTTCGACGGTTGTTCCATCAAATGGTTCCAAAAGTTGTAATTCAGTTGAGTAGTTCTTTTTACCTTTCCATTTTAAGACCTTCTGATCAGCTTTTGAGAATGCTAAGTCAGTATACTGTGGGTGACGCTTCAACCATTGCAAAGAGAGAAAACAAATGAGAGAGTCTTATCGGTGAAAACCCTTAAGGGCACTATAAGGCGATGGCGAGTTGAGAAAAATAAATGAGAGAGTCTTATTGGTGAAAACCCTCACGGGCACTATAAGGCGATGGTGAGTTGAGAAAAAGGCAAATGAGAGAGGTCAATTGGTGAAAATCCACAAAGGGCATCGTTGATCGATTATAGGTTTTCTTATATCCCGGCACAAGCATGGTTAAAGAACTCAGTTTTAAAGTGAAGTTTACAACAGATTTTGAGAATTAGACGGTTTAGACGGATCGAGCATCCAGTCCAAGTGCATGTCATGTTCATTGAAGTCAGCATATTCCTCCAGATAAGTCCTTTCTTATTTTTCTTGAAAGGGACGCTTATTGATTAAGTTGTAATGTTTATTAGTTCACCTACTTGTTTTCTTTCATACTATTATTTTTTGAGTCCCTTTCAGTTTAATTTTGTCAAAGCAAAGCAAAGAAAAGGCCACAAAATTGGTTACAGTTTCCCCGTTATATGAAGCAAAAATTTCTGGGCATAAACAGTATGGGCAAAGCCATAAAGCCGACTTTGATATTCCTTGTCAAGCAAAAGGTTTGAAGGACTTAGCAATGTTTCAAGGGTCAACAAAGGTTACTCATCAAAAGTTGTTTTGGGGAACAAGGTTGTTTGCACCATAGACACAAATGGTGATAGGCGCAAAATAGTCAGGTGTTGATGTGGAGAAAGAAGATCTTCAGAGAGTAAAGTCAGAATCTCCCGGCAATTTGTACGATCATCGACAGGGTCGGTTTTCCTAACAAGTGTAATGGACGCAAGGTCAAGTCGCCCAAGAAATCAAGGCCACAAACTGACCACCATTTTAAAAC